GGTGCCAGAAAAGTAGTGCTTTCTTAAAAAAAAGAAAATGGAAGTATGTCGAAAAGACAAAGAGCCAACCTGAAGGCCACAGCTGGACCAATCTGAGCAACAAAATAATGACAGCATTAGATTATAAACCACAGAATAAAATAAGTATCTATGACTTAGTACAGATATAAACAAATTACTAAATAAAGAGAAGGGGCAGTTCTTCTTTACAGAAGAATTCCAATTAATAAATGTAGAAGGGGGACACATAGGTGGCTCAGTTGGTTGAGCATCTAACTCTTTTGATTTCGGTTCAGGTCATGATCCCAGGGTCATAGGATTGAGCCCCATGTCGGGCTCCATGCTGAGCACGGAACCTGTTTAAGGTTCTCTCTCTGTGTCCCTCTATCCCTCTCCCTACTTGTGCACTCTATCCCACTCTCTAAAATTAAAAAAAAAGGAGGGGGGATCAAGCTGGAAACAAAAATTTAAAAATAAATGTAGAAGGGACAACAATATTTTAAAATAAATTTTAAATTTTTGAAAACAAATATTTAAAAATAAATACAGAAGGCAAACAAAGAAATATAGAAGGAAATGAGAAAAATAAAATCACCATCAGGCAAACACCACTATGATAATTGCTTCAGGAAAGATCTACCAAGAATACTGAAATGACTGAGCAAAAGTTTGAGAAGAACAGGGATTATCTGCACATTTTCAAAGAATCTCCCAAAGATATCTTATAATTACAAAAGGAAAAATAGTGACTCTACAAGGAGAGAAATATGACAGACACGACTTCAACCATATAAGAATTAACATCATCTCAAATAGGATATACTGACATCCTGTACTCTGTGATGTGCAGGACTCAACATTACTTCTATAGTATCTTTGCCAAACACGCATAACTTCAATAAATCAAGGAAATATCAGACAAACGCAAACTGAGAGACAATTCTACAAGATAAATGGCTACACTCATCACAAGTGTGAAAGTCATGAAAGTTGAGAAAAGATCATATCGTATGAGACTAGGGAAACACAACAACTAAATGCAATGTATGATTCTGAATTGAATTATGAAACAGAAAAAGGATACTATTGGAAAAACTAGTGAAATTCAAATAGGGTCTGTAGTTAGTAGTATTGTACCAATGTTGACTTCCTGGCTTTAATCACTGTGCTCTAGTTGCATAAGTTATTAACATTAGGGAAAGCTGGATAAAGGGCACCTGGGCGAAGGGTATATGTTTCAAAATTTAACAAAAAAAAATGTTTAAGTATTCTATGTTCTCCTTCAACTGAATTAAAACAAAGTTGAGAAATTCAAGAAGTATTTACACAGCATAAATCCAACATTTCATTATTAGAAAAGCAACCTACATTGAAACAAGACTTAAGGTATTAATAGATACTTATTATGTATTTACAGATGCTAGAGATGTTGCCTTCAAGAAACTTACAGCTGGTAAGAGAAACAATGATAACTGTCAACGTCAATAATCAAAAAACTCTGACACAGACACAATCAGGTTATAATCCCATGATTAAATAACAATTAGTCACATCATTCATAAAGTATATAAATGAAAATCATTTAGATAACTAAAACCTTGAAATAGGACATTAACACCTACACATTTACAGAATTTAAGTTAGCTTAACACACTCACTACATATATTTCACATGGTAGTCTTATACCTAGTAATTAGTGTCTAATACTTCAAAAAGGACCATTAAATATTTTCCATCAAAGATTATATTTCTCCAATGCAGAAATAAGTTGGCTTACTTTAATCTCTAGCAAAAAGAATACAAGAGAATAGCAAAAATAACCACAAAAATTGAACTGAACTAGGTTTTTAAATCAAGAAAAATCTCAGAAAAAAAAAAACAGGTAAATTTAAAATTTATATAGCAAGTAGCTAAAGACACCTAACAGGAAATCAAAATGTCAACCAATATATAAAGTGTTAGACATTCAATAAAAAATATTCCATCTCCCCAACTCCACATAAGTCAATCAACAGAGTTCAATCATACCACAAAAGGTGTAGCAGATGCAATATCATGATCTTAACACTACTCATTGTCTCAAAACTTTTAAGGATCAAAAGAACTGCAGTGTTCTCCAATAAGCCTTCCTAAACAAAAAGTAACAGAATGACTGTACATATTCTTTTTTAATTTTTTTTAACGTTTATTTATTTTTGAGACAGAGAGAGACAGAGCATGAATGGGGAAGAGGCAGAGAGAGAGAGAGAGAGAGAGAGAGAGAGAGAGAGAGAGAGAGACACACACACAGAATCTGAAGCAGGCTCCAGGCTCTGAGCTGTCAGCACAGAGCCCGACGCGGGGCTCGAACTCACAGACCGTGAGATCATGACCTGAGCCAAAGTCGGATGCTTAACCGAATGAGCCACCCAGGCGCCCCAACTCTACATATTCTTAAAGATAGTAATACAAGGTTTACACTAACATCTGCAATGTAATAGAAACATTACTACTAAGATTCAAACCCAGGCAAAGAGCCAGATTGCTCTGAACAGATATTGTGATTAACTGATTACTGACAGAGGATTCACTCATACATTTTAAACATCAGTAACTTGTTATAATCTCCTAACATTCCAAATCTCTGCCTCTTTTTCCTAGACTTAACAATAGCCAGTTAAAAGTCTTCACAATATTAAGATTCCAGGGCTGATCCTGTCATTAATTTACTTGAATTTAATTGACAGTATATACAGGAAAACACTGCTCCCAATCACAGATATTTTCCAGCCAATAAAGAGAACAGGAAGATAAAGTGAACACAAAAGAAACAGAGCAAACTTTTATAAAAAGTCTCACAAAAAGTAACGGCTCTTTAAACAACTTCACATCTGTAGGTCCAAAACTCAGAGAGCAGGGACCAACTTACAAAATGTTGCAGTATTCCAGAGCCTTCTAAAATTCTTTCTACATTTTTTCCTTAGGTGGTCTCATCCTGTTTCATTAATTTTTAAATACTATTTAATACTCTAAAAAATACAAGGTGTCAAAGCAAGTGAAGTATGCTACCATTTTGGCAAAGTGGGGAGAGGGATATATAAATATTTGCCTATATGTTCATAAAATATATCTTTGGAAAGATATGTAAGAAAACACGAACCCTGTTTGGCTCCAAAAAAACTGGGTGATGAAGGGAGACAAGAAATAGGGAAAAATTTCTCTAAACCCCACCAAACATTTTCTGAATCATATGAATGTAGTTTCTTTTCAAAACATAAACCAACCAGTAAGTGCTGATGACTCCCCATCTCTTTCTCTCCCCACTAGAATTGAAGTCCTGTGAAGACAGAGATTTTTGTCTATTTTTGCACTACTATATCCCCACTGCCAGGACCATAGCTGGTGCCTGAAAAACATTTGTTGAATGAATGACTTCTTAACCTCTCCACTAAATTCCAGATTTGTATATCCAAATCTGGGTATACAGATGTTCTCACCTTCACTTGAACATCTAACAGGTCTTACTTAACATGTCCAATCCAATGTTTCCCTCACCACCTTCTCATCTCAATACATGGCATCACCAGCCTCCAGCTGAAGCCCAAAACCCGAGTCACTGCTGATCCAAGCAACTACACTCTCATGCAAGCCACAAGTTCAATCAATACATTTAGCTCCAAAATATACCTCAAAAATCTTTTGTAACTTGTCTCTAACACGCCAGTCACTATTCTATTCAAATCTACCACAGCCTTCTCTCGGTCTCTCTGCTTCTCTTCTCCTTTTATTCAATCTCCTCCTCCAGTCATATTGCAAATCACTTCCATCTTGACAAAAATTCCAACAGCTTTTCAATGTACTTTAAGAATAAAGGCCAAACTCCTTTGGACAATAAGACCTCACAAGATCTGCCCCCTGGCTATGACCTAACCTCTCATTTCCCAGTAGGGTCCACCTTCACTGAGCTTCTTTCAGTTTGCTGACCCCAAGCTTGATATCTCTGAGAATTTCCACGTGCTGTTCCCTCAGATAGGAATACTCTCCCCTCAGACTTCCAAAGGCTAAATCCTTCTGACTTTTCAGTTATCAGGTCAAAGGTCCCCTAAGACCGGTTTTTTTCCTGACCACAGCATCTCCGTCTTAATACCACAACTCCCTATTTCCTTCATAGTACTTAATGATTCTCTGAAATTATTTTTATTCCTTATGTATTATGTCTCTCTCTCCCACACCAGAATCGAAGCTCCAGGAGGGCAGAAACTCCACTTCTTGCTTACTGCTCTATCCCCTAATGCCTGTGATAATGCTTGACATACAAACGAAGTACTTAATATTTAAGTGAAAAGGACCTCTAAAGAAGGTCCACAACATTTAATTTAATGACTAGACTGTTGAGGATTAAAGACATGGATAAACCATCTTAATAGTCATAAAACACTGAAAATCACCAGAGGATGGAGCCTGAAGTAAGATTATTTCAGATGCATCTGAACATTCAAATACATAGAAAAGGTATTTTTCACACACTACGTGCATGCACACTGCAGAAATGTTCCCCCAAGTTATAAACAGCATCTGAAAAGAAAAAAAGGATAACTCAAAACACTGTACATCTGTTATTTCATCTGGGACTCTTTTGGAAGGGCCTTCCAAACACTGTATTTGGGCAAAAGAGGCAAAGGATAACCAATTTGTTCATTTGTCTGTCTTAGGAATGTGAGATTCTAAAGGGTAGGGTATTGCCCTTTGAGTGTTTTTAAATTTCTACTAGGTAGTCAGTAGTCAATCAGAACAAAGTGATTATTTCTCATATTTTACTTTGTACATTTGGAACAGACCTAGTTCAAAGATTTTTATACTGTCAAGTCAAAACAGCTACAGTGAATGTTAATAGTTTATATCTTATCTCCAAAACTTTAACTTCTACGATATTGCCCATCAACTGGTAATAGTAATATCCGAGGGAAAGGAGATGATTTAACAATAATAACAGTCTGCAATTTAGAGATATTTTATTTACATGAACGTATCTCTGGGGTTGTAGGTAATGGTCCAGGCTCCCTAGTGTGTAAATGCTCTGAGGAGTCTAAGAATCTTATTTCACCAGACCCTAACTGTAGAGACAGGTCTGGCGTGCACATAGGATACTCCTCCCCACAGCTATCAATCTTCGCTGTCTGCGGAAACAAAAGTGAAAATACTCGTGGTAAGGATATAAGAGACTGATGCCCCCCCCCACACCCCCAAACACAGAGTTGTGTATCCGTGTGAGCTCGTAAACAAGCAGAAGAGTACACGCACTCTCACCTTCCCTCCTTCGGAAGAAAATGGGGCCGAGGGAGGGGCGGCCAAGGCCGGGTAGGGGAGGCCCGGGATCCAGTCCAGGGGGTGGCCGGGCTTAGGGGTCAGCGCTCCGGGAAGCGGAGGTCCCTTATAGGACACCATCTTCCCTAGCCTCCCCCCTTTCATCCCTTTCCCCTCCCCCCTCCCCGCCCCCAACTCCTTTCCTCCGCCCCATCCCCGCCACCCATTAACCGGGAAGCGAAGTTTCCCGGCGCCTGCAGCCCAGCTCCCCGACCCTCAGCGGGGTTACCTTCTGCAGAAGCGGGACAAGGGACAGGGGACAAGGGGAGGGGGAGACAGCCCGAAGGAGTGAAGGACGAAGCCCCCGGCGAGGAAGGTGGGCGGCGGCGGCGGCGGCGGCGGCTGTCAGCTCGCGTTCCCCTGCTCACAGCGCTGCCATTACTGTGCGCCGAGGCCGCCTCCCCGGCCGGCCGCCGCCACCGGCCCAGGAGACACGGGGGGTGGGAGCGAAGCCCGGGGAGACCGCGCGCCGGACGCTCACCTGCCACGGCGCGCAAACACAGCAAAGCTCAAGGCCGCCGCCGCTCCAGGACGGGACAGGGGCGGCGGGGAGAGGGGAAAAGGGAGTAGGAGGGGCTGGTTACGGGATCCGTGAAACAACCGTCCTCCTGATCGCCCGGTTTTTCCCCCCCGACACACACGCTTCGATCTCCTTCTTTCGCTACCTCCAATTCCCCCCTCAGAAAGCAATGGTAGAGTCCGCGTTACGGCAAGCGCAGAGAGCCTGGTTTAGTGCAATTGCGAAAGGCCACGGAAATCGGCATTCAAAGTGACTCCTTGCGGTACTCCCTGCGAATGAGGCAGTCGTAGTTGGCTGAGCACAAGAGACTCGACCCACCAAGTTTCGGCACTACTAGTCACAATACTACTAGTCAGGTATTTTCAACAGAAGTATTTTCCAGACCTATGTGAATATTCTGATACCCCCACAATGGGGGATCTTTTCAAATGATCAAAAATGTATTAGCAAAACTACCTTCCCTTCTGACATACTCCTTTAGCAGGTTTTGTCTATAGCCAAATTCTGAAACCTTTTCCCTCCCAACGCTCTTTCTTAAAACTATCTGTGCCAATCCTTTAAGGCCCATTAAAAAATCCTGTTTGCTTCCTTGTCCAGGATATCAATTCTCTGCTATTCTCACATAAACCCATCTTTTGCTGGTAAAATAATTGGCAGATTGATTTGTGAGGTAAACAGAGTTTGAAGACTTTCCTGATGAGACTTTGGTGCTGTTAATAAATGTGACTTTTTGATATTGTGAGATGAGATATGTCAACGTATGAAAGATCTACATGACACAGTGAACCAATATTTTCCAAATATCCGACTCAGGACATAACAAAATCATGCATAGGTAAAGGATACTTTCAAAGTTCCAAGTAGACCAATGGAGATAGTTAAATATATGTATGTGTGTGTTTGTGTGTACACATACATAAAAACAAGGTACAAAAGATTCCTTCATATGATTTCAGATTCTTCATTGCAAATAACCTCTAAGAAATTACCACTTGTCAACGTTTCTATAGCCTCAGAGAAGAATATTCACACTTAACTGAAAAGACTATTAAATTCTCCTCCTAGAGCCTTCTATTTTCTTCATATACTTGAATCATAGAGAACACTTTTATTAAGCCAGATATTAAAGAGATATGCATGCGGGGGCGGCTGGGTGGCTCAGTCAGTTAAGGGTCCAACTTCAGCTCAGGTCATGATTTCATGGTTCATGGGTTTGAGCCCTTTGTCAGGCTCTATGCTGACAGCTCAGAGCCTGGAGCCTGCTTCAGATTCTGTGTCTCCCTCTCTCTCTGCCCCTCCCCTCCCCTTCTCTCTCTCTCTCTCTCTCTCTCTCTCTCTCTCTCTCAAAAATAAACATTACAATTGTTTTCTTTTTAATTTTTTTTTAAACATTTTTATTTATTTTTGGGACAGAGAGAGACAGAGCATGAACGGGGGAGGGTCAGAGAGAAAGAGGGAGACACAAAATCTGAAACAGGCTCCAGGCTCTGAGCTGTCAGCACAGAGCCTGGCGCGGGGCTTGAACTCAGGAACCGCGAGATCATGACCTGAGCCGAAGTCGGACGCTTAACCGACTGAGCCACCCAGGCGCCCCACAATTGTTTTTAATAATAAAACAATAAAGAGATATGCAAAAATGTAAAACCATGCCATTCTAATAATTTGTATTTTGGAAAATATAGTTATTATTCATAAAAATATGTGATGTATGTAGAAATGTGTAGGCATTTATTACTTTTTAATAATTAGGGTTTTTAAATTTCCCTTGTTAATTCTAACATAGTAACTATTGCTGGATATAAACCACGTAAACATAAGCTCTTTGAGATCCTCAATAATTTTTAAGAGTGTGAAGAGGTGCAGAGACCAAAAAGTTGAGAACCAGTGCCCTAAGTTATGAACTGCCCCTGCTCTTGCCACTTTCCTTTTAAACCCTAGGTGGAAGTGAATTAGCATGAAGGGTGACAGACATGAATCACTACCACTGTAACACCCCCTATTTCTAAATTCCAGAAACCTCTTATCCCTTCATAGCTTATCCAACCTATATAATAGGGAAATTACGTTTTGAAAAAAATTATAGCATCCAAGCCTTTTAATATTAAATTGAGACTAGTTCTTCATTCCAGAAAAAAAGATATTGTTTCTGGCCAACACTTCAACCCACTACTTCAAGCAATGTTGGTCTTTACCCTCAAACCTAATCTCAAACCTTAGTTCATCTATGAATCCTTTCTTTGTTTTAATTTTTAGAAGAAATTACATATATTACTTTAAAAATGTGTTTTCAGGGCACCTGTACGGGTCAGTCACTTGAGCATCTGACTCTTGATTTCAGCTCAGGTCATGACCCCTGGGTTGTGGGACGGAGCTAAGGGTGGGGCTTGCTTAAGATTCTCTTTCCCCTGCTCACCCTCTCTCTGAATAAATAAATAAATAAATAAATAAATAAATAAATAAATAAATACTTAAATTAAAAATATTAAAAAATTTAAAAATGTGTTTTGGCCTACATAATATTTATTGAATTCTTTTATTTGTTTCTTGATTTCTAAAGTATACATGTGTTTTTGTAAAAAAAAAAAAAAAAGGCAGAGAGAGAGAGAAAAAAACTCTACCTATATTGCAGAAAAAGATGACCATGTTTATTTTTTTCCCTTTTTTTTTCTTTTTTTTTTTTCTTTTTTTTTCAACGTTTATTTATTTTTGGGACAGAGAGAGACAGAGCATGAACGGGGGAGGGGCAGAGAGAGAGGGAGACACAGAATCGGAAACAGGCTCCAGGCTCTGAGCCATCAGCCCAGAGCCCGACGCGGGGCTCGAACTCACGGACCGCGAGATCGTGACCTGGATGAAGTCGGACGCTTAACCGACTGCGCCACCCAGGCGCCCCAAGATGACCATGTTTAAATTGATAAATATTTCTCAAAATTTTTTCCATGAATATAATTAAATACATTTATGCAAATCAGATCCTGTTATAGATATGCTCTTTAGTAGTCAGTTATTTACATTTCAAAATCTTTATGATTTTGGTCTGAGACCATTAAATAATTCTTAGGCACAGTAATTTATAAATTAGTATTTAAAGAAGAAAACTAATGAAAAATATTTTATGTAGAATATCCTAATATGTCATTATATAAATCAGTAAAAAAAAGTGTGTCTATTTCATTTCCCACTTGTTAATATACATAATCTTCTCTTTAAAAATTTTCCAAGTTCATTTCCTAATCTCCCTGTACCTACTATCTGAGGAGCCCAACCAGAATCATCTTCTGCCTTTATAAGCTTCCTTTACACACATGAAACCCAAAAAACCCTTATTTTTTCCTGGACATTTGTGATTTCAAACAATTTGTCTCATTTTTACATTCTGTATACTAAATCTGACTCATCTGTCCTTGAATCTTCACTGGGAATTTGCATTTCCTGGTTATATAGTTTTTAAATGTTTTTCCACCTTTTGTTTCTAGTAAACAAAAAAATGAGATATTGGGGGCGCCTGGGTTGCTCAGTTGGTTGTGTCCAACTCTGAATTTCCGCTCAGATCATGATCTCACAGTTCATGGGATGGAGCCCCATATTGGGCTCTGCAGTGACAATGGGGCTGCTTGGGATTCTCTCTCTCCCTTTCTCTCTCTCTCTGCCCCTTCCCCACTTGCTCTCTTTTTCTCTCTCTCAAAATAAATAAAACTTTAAAAAAGAGAGATATTGAAGAACAGTTTTCATGCTTGGAGTAGCTGATTAAGAAGCTGCTTTGTGCTTATAAAAGTGCAAGGCTGCTCTTTGGGGAAATATCTGACTGTAGGACAGGGGCAAAAAATACACAAGATGAGCCTGGAGCATCTTGTAGTGTAAGAAGGTAAGGAAGTCCTCAAAAATAAAAACATCCATATTGATTGGAGTATGTATGAGGACACAAGAGCCAAGTGAAAGAATTTCCAATGGCCATAACTAGAACAATTTGGGAAAGAAAATAAAGTATTAGTGAATTATAGCCCAAAGTATAAAATAAATAACCATGGATTCATACTAATATAAATAAATGATAGAATAAAGTAATAAATGGGGGAGAAGAAACAATCTTATCTCCTGTAGGAGAATTCCGAATAAATTATGTAGATACTCCACCTAAAGGAAGGGGAGCATCGGGGCTCCTGGGTTAAGTGTCCAACTGCGGCTCAGGTCATGATCTTGCAGTTCATCAGTTCGAGCCCTGCATCAGGCTCTGTGCTGACAGCTCAAAGCCTGGAGCCTGCTTCAGATTCTGTGTCTCCCTCTCTCTCTGTCCCTCCCCCACTCACACTGTCTCTCTCTCTCTTTCTCTCTCTCTCTCTCTCAAAAAAAAATTAATAAACATTAAAAAAATGGAAGGGGAGCATGACTCCCCATTTTGGGGGTGTGCACCATAAAAGTGACTTGCTTCCAAAAAATAAAAAGAGTAACTTTACAGTGGAGAAATATCACATAGCCAGATGATTAAAGTCAACATTAACAAGATAACTCATTGTTGATAATATGTTCCCTTGAAGTGATGTGATGAGAATGGCACTTGACCTCTGTGATCTTCCTCCCCAAAACGCACCATTCCAATCTAATCATGAGAAAAACATGAGACAAATTTCATTAGAGGGGCATTCTGTAAGATACCTGAGAAGTACTCTTCAAAATTGTTAAGGTTATCAAAAACAAGATAAGTCTGAGAAATTGTCAGCCAAGGGTAGACATGACTAGTGAATGTAATGTGCATTCTGGATAGGATCCTTGAACAGAAAAATACATAAGGGAAAATCTAAGGAACCTAGAATCATATGGATTTTAGTTAATTATTGTGTATCAGAATAGGTCCATTAATTTTAACAAACATACCTACTAATAATGTAAGA